TGGTAAGTGAAGGAAATAGTGTCAAATCCCTTGTATTCTTGCAACGTTTGGAAAGGCTTGCTGGGAGCAGTTTGGTGATTTGAGAAACATTGTGGTTGCAGCTACAGCCACTGAACAAACTAGCCATTATTTGGCTTCAGAGGACTGAGTGAAGAACCAGCTCTGTGCTGTTCTAGAGTATGGGGATTGCCTGACCCACATCTTCTGCACAGCAGCATCGATGTGTGTCCAAGCAGCCTCCAGACAGGGAGGGAGATTTCTGTGCTGCGCAGGTGTTTCACTGCTTGTTTTGTGTTTAGGGAAGAGCAACCCATATTGTGAAATCAGCATGGGATCTCAGAGCTACACTACGAGGACCCTGCAGGACACCTTGAACCCCAAGTGGAACTTCAACTGCCAGTTCTTCATTAAGGATCTGTATCAGGATGTCCTGTGTATCACCATGTTTGACAGGGATCAGTTCTCACCCGATGGTAAGCGTGAACATTTGTTTTAGGAAAAGAATGCTTTTTTGTGACTTGGGGTACACAGTTCCTCACCAGCAGTTCCAAGAGCCTGTAGGTATGACAGCTTCCTGAGAAACATTCTGTAAAAACAACACCTCCTTACTCGAGAGCTTCAATAGCCCTCCAGAGCCAACAGCCCTGACCAGTCAGATTTGAATCCCACTCTGGCTTTTGTATCAGGCACAGAATTATTTTTTTGTCAGACTGGAGAGACAGAGAAGTTGAAAGCAGTTGTTTTCCTCTCTCACTACAGGGGCCCCAAAACAAGGTGCTAGGTTATATTAGCACAGCAACAGCTTGATAAGCTTTCTTTTTTTTGCTTGGAAACTGAACGCGTTTTTGGCAGCAGTTGCTTCTAGTGCTCTTTAAAAGGTTAAGTGCTTTTTCAGGGCACTGACACAACTGATTATTGCAGATCTGCAAGGTGCTGCCTTGACCTGAGTTGCCCAGTGTTTAACTATAGCTCAGTCTTTTCTCCTGTGAGGTAACGTGACTTTGCGAGGCTGCTTCTCCCCATTGGATGGTTGGGTCCGTTGTTTTTTCAGTTCATGGTAAACCTTTTAATGCACAGACACACGCAAAGATGTTTCCGTATGAAACAGCCACGAAGAGGGTATGTGATTTCTGAATAGGGCTGTAAACCTGCTATAGGCAGTAGTTGTTCGGGGTCATTGTTCTTGCGAAAACAGTGAGACATAAGCCTAACTAAAAGTTGGCTGAGCCACAATAGTTGAATTTTTTATTTATTGCCTTCATAGCATTGCACTGACGTAAACAGGTTCCATCACTTAACTCTGACCTTCCAGCTCTAAGACAGGAGAACATCTGAAATTGTGTTTCTGAAAGGGAGCTGTGTTTTCAAAACCCTTAGGTCAAACTGTGACATAAAGGCACGTTTTCCATCCTAATTTCATAGCATTTTTGTCTTCTGAAAACACCCTTTTTTGTCACTGCTGGCTGATTTACACAGGGCTGAGGGCTAGTCAAACAGGAAGCTTGGGAGCAGTGTTGTGGAACCGAATAATATTCGCATTGCTGCTTAACCTGATGCTTTCACATTTTCTAAGCTTGACATCTTTGTTTAATGACATTTTTGTATTTGTTTGCCCAACAGATTTTTTGGGTCGCACCGAAGTTCCAGTAGCAAAAATCAGAACGGAACAAGAAAGCAAAGGCCCCACGACGAAACACTTACTGCTGCATGAAGTTCCAACAGGCGAAGTCTGGGTCCGTTTCGACCTGCAGCTCTTTGATCAGAAAACACTCTTCTAAGAACACTTCTTTTAATTTATGAAGGACAACTGAAGCTGACAGCCTGAACATTTTTTTTTAAAAGATTCCTTGCCCTACGCTGGTTATTAAGCAAGAGTTCCTGCTGCTTCCTTATTTCCTTTTAGTTACTGGTTGCATTTAGCTCCTTGCAGCGTTCAAAGTTGTTGATCTATGCAAACACAAATGTTACTGTACATACAGAACTATAGCTCAGTGCCTTTTTATTATGTTGGAATATCTTGGTTTTGGATGCCAATGTTTCGATTTTCAGGGCCATAAAAAGTATTAAGTAGAAACGCAGCATCAAAACGTGTGTATGTTTTACCACTTAGTCTAACATACAGACTGAGGAATGGTTTAGCTCAGCAATAGAATCATTCCATTTGAAATCGGAAAAGTGATATCCACTGGAATCTTCTCATCTCAGGATGATAGTTTTAAAGATTAAATGCTGAAGAAGCCTTAGCACTGGAGAAGTCTCCCTCCAATATATTGTATATTCCTTAAGAATCAAGCGTAGTTCTTTACTTGACTTAGTTCTGCACTGAAATCAGTAACTGCTACTTGATTTTTCATTCTGCTTCAGTTTGATTCATCATTCTCTGCTGAGACAATGTGGTTGTCAAGAGTAACTAGAAAAAAATATTTTAAATACTGTGACCCACAATAATGTGGAAAAATACTCTTCAGCTTTTTTTTTTTTTTCCTAAATGTAAGTTATTTGTGTACATTTCCTTGGTCTTGCAGACCTCCATGTGAATCTTGAAGCTTTGACATTGCCAACATGTATATAGAGAGTAAAATATAAGTTTATTAATGTAATTTGTCTACAGATGTTTATTGATGCATAGTGATTTTTAAAAAGTATATTTTATTGTACAGGGGAATGTGAAATAATGAGAAAAACATAGGATTAAATTCAAGAAAAGTTTATTATGTTTAAAAGTTAAAGTTTAAAAGGTTTGCTCGGGGAAACTGTCACTCCAACACGAATATAGTTGTAAGCAAAAACTTTCTCTTGACAACAAAATCAGGGATAGTTTAAAAAAAAAAGTTTATAAAGAGTTTGATACATTGTAACCATTTTACTGCCTCCTTAACCTGCTTTGTTGAAAAAGCACAGCATGCAATTCTGAGCAGTGTGTGCCCTTGTTTTCCATGGGTGCAGCAATCCCTCCTGATGTCTGACAGTTTCACACCCAATTGCCATCTGTGTACCCTCCTGTTACAGGGCTGAGTCAACCTCTGTTACTTTTAACAGTTTTCTGTGGTTCAGTATTTCTAATCCAAAATAAAACTAAATCTTGGCAACTCTTGAGAGATTGTGTCTGTACAGTGGGAGGCTGGAGCTTCCTGAACAAGCATAGAGAAAATTCTGTTTTCAGGCCTTGATGCCCTAGCTGCTGTGCAGTCACCCCAGCAGGGAGACAGGGACCACACTGGAAGAAGAGAGAAACTGATCTGTAGGGCACTGACAGCGTTTGTTGCTCAGCACTGACCCGCTGAAAAGTGCTAGGTATTCCATACAAGAACAGTTACCATCTCCTCTCCCCTAATTATTTCCTGCCTTCTCAGAACACTCAATAGGTGTGTTAAAATTTGATCGATTGCTTGTACACTGCCGCCACGAGAAAGTCCTTTGAAACCTTCGTAGTAGCCTAGCATTATTTTGCAAATAATATTTTGCAAGACATTCACTGTGGGAGTTCTGATAAAGATTTGAACAAACAAAACCAAATCATTATTTCCTTCGCAGCGCTAAGCCACTCTTCTGTACACATCTGCTAACCACGCTCGTAGCCTGTGCAGTCAAAGAGAGGGTTTTTTTCCTTAAGTCTCAAGCTTCATGCACAATTGCAACAGCTGTGGCTAAAATTTTACAAGCTTTGCCATTCCCTCTGCTCTTCTTACTCACACTTCTTGTAATATGAAATACAGCAGACAACAGCTACAGCTCTGCCAGAGCTGGAGATAACATACAGACTCTGAACTGCATGGAAGAGGGTCCTAGAAGGCTTTTTTCTAACTTTTCTCACCAGTTCATCTCCTTTAATACAAAGACTCTGTCACCCTATAAACCAGAGAACATCAGCACTGTCTTTGTAGAGCTGAGCCTAAGTTAAGCCTCCTAAACCAGTAGGTTTTGGCCTGTAGAGCAGGAACTGGGGCTGGAAATAACAGGAGCAGCATCTCAAACATTTCTTTGGCTGCTGGTTAACAGTACTTCAGAACCACACGTTTAAGACAAGGAGTTTATTGCGGTTTGCCAGAAGACCTGGGCTGTTACCACTTGCTTCGGCAGAAGATGCAACATCGATTTTGCAAATGGTACCTTCTGGTGGCTGTGCCTGCTGCTGCAGTCAGCTGGAGGACAGGTGACATCCTTGCCTCTCACCGGCTTTGTGGTGGCTGATGACTTTCTGCCTTTAAACAGAAGTAAAGGCTATTGCCAGTCCATGCAACACAAAGGCTGCTGCAGCCCAGCACAGCTCCCTGCACTAGCTCCTTCCCACAGTCAGTCACTCCAGGAAATGTTTGTCTTTGCAACCAGTTTTCCTTCTGGAATGTGCCATTATCCCATAACTGCTCTAAACATGCTGGAGTAAAGCCTTGGGCCAGTAAGGCATAAAACTCTAAGGCAGGGGCTGGGGGAAAAAGAGTGGGGCTGGCTCAGGAGGACATCGGGCTCGGACACCAGAGGCAATGGGCACAAACTGAAACATGGGGTTCCCTCAGAACATCAGGAAACACTTTTGTACTGTGAAGGTGATGGAGCACTGGCACGGGCTGCCCAGCGGGGTGGTGGAGTCTCCATCCTTGCAGTTATGCAAAAGCCATCTCGACATGGTCCTGGGCTAGCTGCCTCTAGGTGGTCCTGCTTGAGTTGGGGGAGGGTTGGACAAGATAACTTCCAGAGGTCCCTTCCAACCTCAACCATTCTGTGATATAAGTATGACCTCACTCTGCTCCCAAAATCTAGAAACTAATAGCAAAAGAAAACCCAAAACTCAAAGCAAGTATGATCATTAAATCCTTTCACCTGCTGTCCACTCCATACCTGAAGGCTTTCCTTTCACCAACACTCCTCTCTCAGGAGAAATACACAATAAAGCAGAACTCACCATTAAATTTAAGTTCTAGCAAATACTCTGCTATGCAGCCAAGGAGAGGCCTCATCCACTGTAGCTGTTGTGCTGCCTCTCAATAACAACGCTTTAGCTCTTACCTCTTTGTTCGGTGGACCTCACTGGCAATGTAGGCGTGTGGTATCTTCAGCCACTCAACTGCATCCATACGTTGCCGGCTCAAAGGAAGCAGTGGCAGTTCTGCTTTAATGAGTTTTTTCAACTCTCTGGTAGAGTAGGGTCTTCCTGACAGGAAAGTAGTAAGTGCTTCATGTGAATGTCTACTGTCACAAGCAAGGATGGCCTCACAATATGCAACGCTTCCAAAGGATACCAGTTGTTTAAAATACCTGTCTCACACTGCTTGATAACGCCTGTCTCTATAAACTTTCTTTGAATGTCTTTTAACAGAGGATCCTGTAAAGTTGGTATTGAAACCTGTGACAGAGAGAGTTATTTCACGCTTACGCACTAACACACACGCTTTATCAAAGACCAAAGTCAGAGGTGAACGTCAAGGTACTGTTGGTTAGCAGGTAAGGAGCACCGACTTCATGTTTCATGAATAAAATCATGAGGCACAGGCTTGAGTGGCCTGAGACACGCTGAGCATCTCAGCTCCTCAGGCAGGCCATAACGCGTTCAACACCTCTGCCACCAAGTCAGACCACAGACATGAGATCTGATCTCCTGGAGGCAGCTGATCTTGGTGAACCCTGCGTGGCACATTGCAATGAAATACCATCTCAGTCCCCACAGCTTCTGAGGGCTCACAGCACCCAGAAAGGATTTAGAGAATTGCACTTCATGGATTTGTGTTCGAGTCCTACCTAACTCTTGTATATAGGTACCCAAGTCTGGTGCATTTGAGTGAGCTTTTGTAGAGATCCCCTGAACTGTCAGGCTATTTCCTTCTACAGAGCACACACCCAGCTTGCCTGGGAACTCACCAACCCTCGTTAGACAGGACGCTTCCCACACTGCCATGATGAATTTGAGATCAGGGAAACAAACCTCCCCCTCCTACCATTGCCTACTGTGCCTCCAAATCTGGGCTTAGTATGGATCCAAACCATGTTCCCAGTGAAAATAATTTTCAAACACTCCTGGGCTCAAACACAGTAGGAGCTGGCACCCCTATTTGTTCCGTCAATAAAAGTAGAATATGTTGCTCTACGCCAGCCCCATAGCAGCATCAGTAACACGCTCTGCCTCCTCTCTAACCATTAACTTCCTGATGGTCCAAGGGTGCCTTGAAAACTCACGGCATAAATAACCATCACACCTTCCAGCAGTCTGTACATGTCTTCAGGAAGAATGGATCATATTCTGTTGGGTCATAAACTTCCAAAGCCACATAGCCCTGTGGGAGAAGAAGGTAGCAGGTCAGGTATCAGTAGCTATTGGTGATAAAACAGTGGGAGAGCAGCCAGCCTAGGTATTACACAGCCAGGCATGGTATGAACACAGCACCTGAGGTGGTGGAGAAAAGGACTTCTGAATTTTCACACACTGCACCTCAGAAAGAAGGTGACTGAAGTGTCAGAGGATAATTCCTCCATTCATTTTAATTTATCACAGGCATAAATACATAATAAATGATTTCATGAAGAATTCAGAAATAATTAGAGGCTAAAATGCTAATCACAACTAGGGCAGTCAAGAAAATAGAAATTTCATTCAAAGGAAAATGTTTTGACAGAGAAGGAAACGAGGAAGAAGGGAAACGAGGAAGAAAGAAGGGAAACGAGGAAGAAAGAAGGGAAACAGAAGAAGAAAAAAAGAAGCGACTGCACCCTCACCAGCCATACCTGTAGGCAGGTCACTAGTTTGCGAGACGTGAGCTCCAAGTGTAGGTCATGAGTATGCTTTCCTATCTATATATAGGAGTAAAGACCTGAACCATCCCATAGAGCTCCATCTCATCAAGAACTCTGCCTGCAACAAACTTCATGTTCTGCAGCTCGAGTTCCCTATGACCAGAGTTAGCTAGGGAACAAGTACCACCAGTTGGCCTTTATTATTGATGTCAAGACCAAAGAACACCAGATCAAACAGGCTATCAAGAAGCTGAACAGATATTGAGGTGACACACTGATCCAGCCTGATGCCGGGAAAGGTGAATTACAACCATATGTCTCCAAAATTCTAATGCACTGTTTACAGCCAATAAGCCAGGACTTACCTAAACTGCATCAGATAAGAGCTGTACAGATGACAAAACATACAAGTAAAAAAAAAAAAAACACAACAGAGGCCACAAGTGATGCCCTAAGAACAGTAAGAACAGGGCAAGCATATAAAATTATTTTCCCTACTACTAGTCATTCTTCCAAAATCTTGCAAATGATGTTTTTCAGCTCTCTTGTGCAGAAGATTCTCCAGGTGTTCCAGGAAGAAAAGGGAACACTCAGTCCACAGCCCTCTACGTCTCAGCCCTACGCAGTCCTTTTTGGCAATCTGTGGACGTGATTTTAAGTTGAGAGTTGGAAAACACATATTTTAACATCAACAGTTCAGGAGTGCTGCAAGATGAGTCCAAACCCAAAAGAGTGGGATCTGCAGTAGGTTTAAGAGGTCAGTGTGTTGAAGGTGCCCCAAGGGCCCGTGCTGTTGCCAGACAATCAGCAGGCACCTGGGCAGCTCCACAGGGCTTAAGCTGCTGCCGAGTATGACCATCGCTGCCTCTGCAGGAGCCTCAGCTCCTCAGGATCTGGCAATTTCCCAGAGAGCAAGCAGCAGCCGTACTCACCATCTCCTGTTGCTGTCCCTGGAAAACTTTAACCCCTAACACGCCTCAACTTCCAGAGTTTTAGTGCCATCACTTGGTTTATTATTAAATATCACCCCATTACAGTATGTGCTGAGACCTCAGGCGATGGTGCTCGGTGCCACACAGCACAGCCATGTTTGATCCCTTCACGCCGTCGATGTATTCCCACCCACACACCCCTTGGCAGCCAGCACAGTGGCAGCCTGTCCTTTAAACAAGAGTCAGAAGGGTCTCGTACTCTGCAGCTTTTCAGTACAAAATGCCTACAATATCCTGGACAACCAGATGCTGAGTTGTGGCTAACACAGCAGCAACCCAGGCTGGGAAAACTTCTCCCTTCTTGCCAGCTGCACCTCTCCTACAAAGACAGGCTGAGAGAATTGGGGCTGTTCAGCCTGGAGAAGAGAAGGCTCCGGGGTGATCTTATCACAGCCTTCCAGTACTTAAAGGGGGCCTACAGGAAAGCTGGAGAAGGACTTTTGACAAGGGTATGTATTGATAGGAAAAGGGGCAATGGCTTTAAACTGAAAGAGGATAGATTTAGATTAGATCTAAGGAAGAAATTCTTCCCTCTGAGGGTGGTGAGGCACTGGAACAGGTTGTCCAGAGAAGTCATGGATGCCCCATCCCTGGAAGTGTTCAAGACCAGGTTGGATGAGGCTTTGAGTAACCTGATCTAGTGGAAGGTGTCCCTGCCCGTGGCAGGGGGGTTTGGAACTAAATGAACTTTAAGGTCCTTTCCAACCCAAACCATTCCATGATTCTAAATTCTGCAAAATTTATCATATACTGCCATGATTAAAGCAAACTTATGCAAATCAATTGCCCTGTTACTCTGAAGGGCTTCAGTCTGCTTTTCAGAGCCAACACCACAGACCAAGGAGAAAAGGTGGAGGCTGATCACGGGTGCTGTGCTTGTTCAAGGAGAAGGACACATCCCAGTACAGCAGCCATTGTTTTTGGAGGACACCTAGCCAAGTCCTGACCTGACACAGAAGCTTGCAAGATGGACTGATGCAGACCCAGACATGTACAGGATGCCCAACATATCCTAAATCCCAGGACTTCAGCAGTAGGACCAGTTCAGCTCTTTGTCATTACATGCAGTTTAAATGCATAGGTCTTTCACATCAGACCTTTGAAAAAGAGATCATTTGCTCTCATTAAAACAACACAGCTCCCATGACATTTTCATTTCTGGATGGTAAGCTCATTTACAGTCTCATAACTCCTCTGTGCAGTGGTTTCCACTGATAACAAAAGCCTGCTCCATATAAAATACTACTCTGTTTCTGGCAGATGATGTAACTGCTATTATTGCTCTATATATCCATTCCTGAGATGCAGAAAGTTGAGTCATGGGATCTCATACTCAACAGTGTTGTGAAATTCAGAGCAAAATCAAGAAAACCAACAAGTATTTCCTACAGTGACTGCAATCGTTATGAGTACTGAAACACACGGAACTACAGAATCCATGACTTGGGTCTATTCATCTGCATGCAGACTTAAGAATTGGTGTCTCCCTGTTCCCACCCTTTTTTTTCTTTTATAAAGCTCAATCAATAGCATTGAAGGCCACGAAATTATTTCACTTGTGTTCTGCCAAGACATTGCAGTACTGCTCTAGCTGAATTCCTGAGATGTGAGAGTGCAGTCCACTTCCTGGTCCGTGGTTTCAGCTGACAGAGCTTAAGGTTTTCCCTCTAAACGGTCCGGCTCACAGAGGAAAACCCACCACAGTGTGGTGTCTCACCATATTCAGACTCCAGCATGTGCTCACTGCACCAAATACTATAATTCGTATCTGATGGTGATCTTAAACAAACAGCTGTAACAATGTATGTCACCATTACAGAAATCCTAGGGAAGAACATGTTACAGGTAAGGCATACCTGAACTCCAGGCTACTCAACTGAACAGCAAATAACAGCTAAAACCCTGATCTTGTCCACAACCCTCTGTACGCAACCCTCTCCATGACAGAAATTTACTTCTCGTTGATACCTTCTTTTTACAGTAGTTCAAATAGAGAGACAGTTGTTCATCTTTCCTTTTCCGTATTTCTTCGCTTGACTGGCTGTCCATTTTGTCCTCAATTTTCTGCAGCAGTGGCTCTGACACATCCTCCAGCCATTTCTTGTACAGGATCTCCTTCTTTCTCAGATTTAAGAAATCATTGTGCCTCAAATACCTGTCCACCTCCTGAATAAGAAATGGAAAACAAAAAAATACAACCTATTGGCCAACCATGTTAAAGAGCCCACGGGTGAAACTACACAGCTTGGCTGACCTGATCTGACTGGTCACTGCTGTTTTCCAGCCCTTCTTTCTGCTCCTCCCTCTCTCCACTTCCCACCACTTGTTTCCAAGCTCTCCCTCGAACGAGCGTTCAGACTCAAATTTTTTAAAGCTGTAGTGCAAGACTGGTAGAAAACAGTTCACTTTCTCCCACCAGGTTAGTGAGCTGAAATCACTTCAGAGTGGGAGTCTGACAACACCAGACTGTGCAAGTCAGGCAGCAGGAGAAGGACCTTCTCCCTGCAGCAGTGGAAATCTGCTAGATGAGATCAGCCCCCCTGCCCTTTGTTCACAGGCCCACGGTCACCATCTAATCACACCCGCAGAACAAAAGTTAGGTGCAAGTAGGCAGGTAAGTCACCAAAGACAGATGATTCCTAAGCTCATATTTAGGGTTACCACTTCAGTCCTATCCTGAGGAGACCGAGGAGGCCAGAAACTTGTACTTCTAAAGTTTGTTTTCCAAGAATACAAATTGGTGTGTTCTCATGAATCACTGATGGAGAGAAAAAATACTGACATGCGGGAAAGCACACAGCAAGTGAGAAAAGAGAGATCACTTCTTACCCTCACAAAATAATTTTCTCTGTCCAAGATGCACTGAGCAGAAGCAATGATGTCTTGACTTTCATCAGGTACTGCCTAACAAAAGATCAAAAAAACCCCATGAAGTCAAAGTAGGACTTACAGTATGAGCTAGAATTACCTTTGAAGTCAAAATAATTACTTGTGTTGTAATTAAAGGCACCTTATACCGTAAACCTGATGGCAGAATAGCACAGGCAGGCAAATCCTTGTGAGACTTGCTCTGAATAGTTAGGTTAAAGGTAGCAACAGAAGACTGTTGGAAGAATTGGAACGTACATGTTCAGCAGGACCAGACCATACACCTCCTTGGTCCCTCTTCACCACAACTGCACCACCACCTGCTCCTTGCTACTGTTGCTCACACGTGCCCAATGAAGGCAGGAGAGGCACCACTCTGCACTTTCATTTCCAATACGGACACAGTCACACTATACAAATAGCAGCCAAGCAAATTAAAACTGTGATGAGGTATTACGTCAAGGAATTAATAAAAGTATAAAATGAAAAAGAGAGGAAAACGGTGATGTGTAAGAGGAAAGATAACGAAAAAAATCTCTCCAAAGCAGGAAACTGTCTTGCTGCTGCCCCTGCTCATGAATTTGTCTGCATTTTAAATCTCAGTTATTGTTGTGACATCCGTCAAGTTCTCCTCTAGCATCATCTTCCTCTTTCTGAAGATCAGAACAGGGAGAAACTGTTCTCAGCATCGTGAATATAGAACAACAGCCCTTGCAATGCACTGCTGTTGTCAATTTGGTTTTTAAACAGGTAATTGCTTGTAACATGGGGCTTATTAACTGCAACTCCTGCACTCCAGCCAAGGAGCACAAGCAATACAGACAGAATTCACCTATCATTTGAGGATGGAGTCCCTCCAGGCAAGATCGGAGCACACACACAATGGGGATATCTCCCCTACCATCAGGCAGCACCAACTCTGTGGGTTAACCAGAGGGATCTTGTCTTCATGAGTCAATCAGCAGCTTTTATAAGCAACCAGTTCACAAAGAATTTTAATTCCATGGCAAAATTTATCTTGAAGAATCTGCTATTAAAAAAACAGCTTTTTGGTATTATGCCAAAAATTCAGGAGGTAAGTTGCAATGCAGGAAACTAAAACACAACCTGTTTTAGACAGACCATCTCAGTTAAGCTAAACCAAATTTACAATCTGTTCTGCTTTCTGTGACTAACCCGCAGTGTAGGCACTGAAAGGAGCTCAGCCCAAGAGCACAGGCAGGCAACTGAGTTCCTACAGCTTAACCAATGGCCACGTTGGCTGCTTTGCTGCAGGTGGCACGCTCACCGCCTGCCCCAACCAACAAACGAGGCTCAGCGGGTGCGGTTTGTGACTGCGATCACTTCCAAGTTCGCATCTCACGAGAGCTGCGCAGATGCTAACACCAGCTTAGGTATCACTAAAAGTTTAAACTGGTTTCAGTACATCCACACTAAATATTTCTCCAACACAAGTTAATCCTCAAGTGACCTGGTTTCACTTAGACCTAAGCCAGAGGCAAGGCTGAAACATTCCCATTTCATCTGTTTGACCTGCTGCCTACCTCCCGTGGTTTCCGTAGATGAACTCAAAGTCATCTCTGCTGTGACCTTCTTGTGCCATTTAAAAACTGAGCTACAGCCATCGCATTTTGGCACAAGCCTACAAGCACGACGCCAGCGGCAGCACAAGACTCAAGGAATGCATCTAATGCACAGAACAGAAAATTAGGATGCTACTTCCTGTGCTTAATGTTAATTTTTAATCTCAATAAACAGTGTAGTTTCCAGACATGTTTGCCTTGACCCTGTTGACCAGCTCCACACTCCAACAGGCTTCTTATCCTGAGTTGAGCAGGACATCATACGTCAGAGCAAGCAGGGAAGAGACAAGCAGTAGAAAAAAAAAGAAAACAAAAAAAAACACCCAAAGACAAACAAGAAAGGGGAAATCCAAATTTCTGGCATGTTTTAAGACCCTTTCATCCTATTTGAAACAAGCAGTGTGTTGCGTTACACCTGACAGATCTACTTCACATAATCACAGACCTTTTCTAAAACTAGTACCTTAACAGCACCAAGGAGGCATGGCCACCTCCCAGCTGAGAGGAACCAGTAGCAGAACGTACTCAGAACGCACATTGGTGAAGAAGTGAAAAGTTTTCCTTCAGGATGATACACATCTGAAGAATCCTTACAGAACCAAAGGACTTAGGTCGCCTTTGACTGTAGGAGTTAGGTCTCTTCTCCCTGTAGAAGGAAAGGCTCAGGGGGAACCTCATCACAGTATGCCAGTACTGAAAGGATGGCTACAAAGAGGCCGGAGGCTCTCTCTTCACAAGGAACCATGTGGAGAAGACAAGGGGCAATGGGTACGATTTGCACTAGGAGAGGTTTCGCCTCAATATAAGAAAGAAATTTTTTTTAGAGTGAGATCAATCATTCACTGAAGCAACCTCTCCAGGATGTGGTGGAGTCCCCATCACTGGAGGTTTTCAAGATGCCATTGGACAGGGTGCCAGATAATCTCATCTGGCGTCTCTTTCTCATGAAAGGTTGAACCAGATGATCTTTCGAGGTCCTTTCCAGCCTGGGCTGTTCTGTAAGTCTGTGATTCTGACTAGTCACAAGCTTGTTTAAGGTTTTATGGGAAACTTTTCCACATACCAAATTGTATGGAACTCAATAAAATTGCCTCAAAAGGATGCAAGAGCTCAATAGAACCTATGGGATTGCTATTTCCAGAGTTCTTTGTTCTTTGTTTGTCCCAATGACAAACATATCTCAGACTTTACAGGACTTTGCAAATAACCATTTTTCATTCCTCCCTTCATACCTTCCATTCCACTTCATTCCTCCACTCATACCTTCACATAACAGAAGTATTCCTGTGTTAGCCAACCTTTAGTATTATTTTCCTTCCCAAAAATGCCTACGGCAGTCAAAACTACTTGCAGAGCCACTCTTTGCTGGTGCTGAGGAGAACCTCTAGATAAACGTAAAAAAAGGAAAAGGTCTGCATAAAAAGCTAACCTGCTTTAGAAAGATCAGGTTCTCATCTAGTTTCCACAATCCAGCTACAAACTGGAATAGAATGGTAGGAAGTTCACCGAACATCTTCACATCATGCTGCCTTGCAAACCTTGTTGTTTCTGTGCAGGAAGTACAACAAAGCATCCTTGTAGTAGTTGTCAGGAATACTCCAGGACAGGAGACGAAGAACATTTCACACAGACGAAAGAGTAGCAATGGAGATTGGGATATCTCAATTTAAAGCCATGATTTTAATGATTTGGGCACTCTTCTTTGAAGAAAGATACATATAGGTCCAATTCTATCCACTCACAGTTTAAGCACCTCTTGTAATATCAGACCACTGCTTACTGAGTCAGCAGCCTACTCATGCATACATAAGACAGGCTGCGATATAATTTCTGAATGTACCAACACTGCTGACCAGGATTAACTTTTGGGATTCCTCTGGAAGATTCATGCAATATTTGAATACTTAAGATGGACTCAACGTACAACAAGCTGACAGGAAGGACAAAGCACACACACATCTTCCTGTAATACACGTTTCTGAGTATGCCTAGGAAGGACAGTCTCAAGCACAAAGTTCTTGCTAAGGAGGACTCACAAATGAATTCAGATACACGATGGGGACAGCAGTCCCAGAGCACTGACAGACAGACCAGATCACTGTCCAGAACTTCAGCAGTATTATGCGGCCAGTAACAAGACAGGAGCTGAATTATACCCAAATATCCTGGGATCTCAGTTACAGATACTGGTTTCATGTGTCCTGACCTTTGGTTCTTCACAGTAGAATCTTCAGCTGAAGGAATGATGAGAGTCACTCACCTGCCAAGGCCGTTGCTGATCATGTTCTCTCGCAGGTCTCGGACACGTAAATCTTAGTAGCCATGGAGTCTCTGAGCTATTCACAGTACTCATTGTTGGAACAGTCTGGGAGAAACATGAAAACATTCAAAGACATATAAAACTATTGTACAAAAAGCAAAATCTAGTTTTCCTACAATTCCCATCAAACAATAAAGCAAATATCTAAAAGAATTCTAACTGCTGATAGCAGCAGCACTTTTGTTTCACAGTAAGCTAAACTGTGAGAGATGAAGTATCAGGTTTGTTGTCAAGATACTCCCTTGTTGCGACGGAGGGAAGACCAGGACGCTCAATATGAGTGATCAGCAGGCTTCGTCTTTATTGCCAGGCGATAACACTTTAATAATCATTTTAATTAGTTCATACATATTGCAAAAGGAAAGCTCATGATTGGTTAACATATTTAAAAGTCAACCCCGCCCCTGGCTCCCCATCTGTGTTTACTCTCTTCCTTTTTTCTCATGCCTGTCTGGCCACAAGCGTCCTGTTGTCTTGTAATACTCAAGTCAAGGACAGGACATTCTTGCCACATCAGCAGTTAAACTAGCTGAGTGCTTTGTTCCGCAAGATCTTGTTCAGCTAGCTGGCTTATGTCTACGTGGCCTTTCTCAGTTAGCCATTCTCCCACAATTCCCCCGTTTTTATTTCGTGCGATATAAGCTTGAGTGGTTATTTTCACAAAGAGAGCCTTAATACAAGAAAAAGTGCAGCCTACACAAAGAAGCGCTATTATCATTATAACAAGGATCATTATTCCTGTTTGTATTAAAATGTCCCGGCCCACTAGCACGTGTACGCCCTCTGGAAGGGGTATAATTGAGACGCAGCAGGTGATGATCTTGTCTCCTATTTTCCATTGTAGGAGGGGTGATTTACGAGCGAGAGTCAAGCCTCCGACACCCGTCACCGTGGCATCGGAGGCATAGGTGGGCCATCCAGATGGCCATTTGCGGGAGCTAATGATTGAGACGTCAGCGCCGGTGTCTAGTAATGCCATGAGTGACAAGGTTTGGTTGTCGTAGTGCACTGTAACTGATTGTCGCAGTCGTTGGCGTAGGTCCACAGTCAGCAGGGCTGCTTGGCCTGTTGATCCGAACCCACTTTGTCCTCGGGGTTGTTCTTGCAGCGGTGTCAGAGTCTCAGCAAGTTGTGGTAGAGGAATCAACTGCGCCACTCTTGTGCCTTTTGGGACATAGAGTGGTGGAAACAAAGTTTGAGCCATGATCTGACTTTCTCCATGAAAGTCCTTGTCAATAAGTCCTACTAATACATTGAGTCCTTTCATGGTGGCAGAAGATCGTCCTATAAGTAATGCCCCGGTAGGCTGTCCGTGGATATAGATGCGTCCTTGGGTGCCAGTAGCAATTTTGACCGGTTTAGAGTCCATCAATGTGCAGTCTATTGCTGTTGCAAGGTCCAGTCCGAGGCTGCCACTGGTTGCGGGTCGGAGAGAAAAGGATTGTGTGTTGCTGGATAGGCGGCCGCTTTTTGTGTCGTCGCGAGGCGGTTCCTCCCGCTGAATCGTCCATTTCCCGGGT